AAAACAGTTCATATAATTTTTTTAAAATATATGTAACATATGCAAATTCATCCGCAAAAACTGGAATCAAGCATTAAATGAATAAAATAAAATAAGGAATAAAGGTAAGCCGAAAATAATAATAATAATAATAATAATAATAATAATAATAAATATAATAAATATACGACAGCGAAATCACTATAACTAAAAAAGAAAAAAATAAAGAAAAGGTCCCTTAACGACACAGATAACAAAACCGGAAGTTCATGAACCAAAAATCCCACCCTTTTCCGCCTCTCCTATAAATACCCCTTTCCGCCGTTTATTTTTCTCCACACTCACAAAATCACTTCATACTTCAGAGCTTATATTCTCTCTAAACCTCAAAAATGACAATCCCGACTCCCTCATCTTCTCCAATTCTTCTCTCAAAATGCATTGTCTTCCCCGATCAACCTTCCTCCGTCGCCGACTTGAAGCTTTCCGTCTCTGACCTCCCAATGCTCTCTTGTCACTACATCCAGAAAGGCTGCCTCTTCACTTCCACTAATCTCGACCAAATTTCTCTCCTCGATCTTCTTAAATCCGGTCTTTCAAGAGCGCTCTCTCGTTTTCCGCCGCTTGCCGGCCGTTTGGTCACCGACGATCACGGTTACGTCTATATCAAATGTAATGATGCTGGCGTCGAATTTATCCACGCCAATGCCTGCGAGTTCTTCGTTCGTGACCTTCTCGTTCCCGGCGATCTCCCCGAGGGCTTCAAGGAGTTTTTCGCTTTCGATCGAATGGTTAGTTTCGCTGGTCATTTTAGCCCAATCATGGCCGTCCAGATCACCTTCCTCGCTGATGGCATTTTCATCGGATGCTCCGTCAACCACGCCGTCACTGACGGCACCTCTTTTTGGAACTTCTTCAACACCTTTGCCGAGGAGTGTAAAGCCGCCAAATCCACAACGACGACTAAAACGATCACTATCACTCCTACACCGGACTTCCGCCGTGACTCCGTTCTGGTTTCTCCGGCCGTTCTCCGTCTGCCGCCAAGTGGTCCCGAAGTCACCTTCTCCAACGACGTACCGTTACGGGAGAGAATATTCAGTTTTAGTAGAGAATCAATTTTGAAACTGAAAGCTAAGACGAACGAAAAGAAATTAGTCGATAACGGAGACTTAACGGTAACGGCGGTGGAGATCATGGGGAAGCAGAGTAATGATATGTATTGTCAGAACAACGGCAAAGTGGGGTCCATTTTTGACAGCTGGTACAAAAACGACACCGTTACAAAACAACACGCGGATAGCGAGGCGATCTCAATGACAACAATATCGTCGTTTCAGTCTCTTTGCGCCTTATTATGGAGGTCAGTGACGCGAGCGAGAAAACTCCCTCCGAATAAAACGACGACGTTTCGTATGGCGGTGAACTGCCGACACCGGCTGGAGCCGAAGCTGGATCCGTACTACTTCGGTAACGCCATTCAGAGCATTCCGACATGCGCTTCCGTCGGCGACGTTCTGTCTCGGGATCTGCGTTGGTGTGCCGAGAAGTTGAACGAGAACGTGATTGCTCACGACAACGGAATGGTGCGCCGATTTGTAGAGGATTGGGAGGCGAATCCGGGGATGTTTCCGTTGGGGAACGCTGATGGTGCGTCGGTTACGATGGGGAGTTCGCCGAGATTTCCGATGTATGAGAACGATTTCGGATGGGGACGGCCGTTGGCGGTGAGGAGTGGGCGAGCGAATAAGTTCGACGGGAAGATATCGGCGTTTCCAAACAGAGAGGGCGGTGGAAGTATTGATTTGGAGGTGGTTTTGGCGCCGGAAACCATGGCCGGGATTGAGTCCGATTCGGAATTCATGCAGTACGTGACGGCGCCGAACTAAAAGGTAAAGTACTGGAAAGTACCTGCAAATTTCGGCCATCCATGGCTACATGGTAGTGTAGTCTAATTAGGGTGGGGAAACGAGGAGGATGACGATGATGATATATATATATATATATATATATATTTATAATTATATATACATGGTGCTGTTGAAAATGAAATGGCGAGATGGAGAGAAATTATAAGTTGATTTTCTTAGAAATATTGAAATCTTATGATCTGATTTATCATGAAGAACGTGTTCCTGTTCGATTATGAGCAATCCATCATCATTTTAATTTTCAGGAATAAATTCTAGTCTTGTTTGATCAAATCAAGATTGTAGAATTCTCTTCTCACCCTTTTCCAGAAATTTGAACTTTCTTCTTACACCTGTTAAGCTTATGAACATACAATGAAATCAAGACTAGTTCATCAAGTTGTAGGGGAATTTGTTTGCTAAAAAGTTGGTGCCAAATTTTCCATGGATATGCGCTACAAGAAGAACAAAGTTTAGTGGTCGATTAAAGTAACTTAGATAAGGATTCTATTATATGCTTTAAATCTTATCTTCAGAAAATAAGAACAATTATTGAAAAAGTGACTTAGTTAGAATCTCAACCAATTGATGATTACCGCACATTAATCGAATTATATTGTTAAAATAAGCTAGGAAGGAACAAATTCTTATCCAGTATAAATAGTGATAAATAATAAAATTCAAATATAAATAGTGATAAATATTTTTTAATTATATAATATTTGAATTTAGAAAATGAGGTATGAAGTATTGAAGAGTCAAACCTAGGCATTGACCATTTGAGCTGGAAATGAGTTAGAGCTTGATGTATTCAAATCTTTTCGGAGGCACAATGATGCTTACTTTGCGGAAGGTTATGTATGTTAGTTAATTCTTTATTTATCTATAATATTATATTGTTAATAATAATAATTGAATCATTATATTTCACGTGTATTGTTTGAATTTTATTTATTTTTTCTTATGTTAACATGGTTGACTTTGTATAGAGTCGTATAAATTTAGATTATTAGCCCTTTTTTAAAATTTAACAATATCTGCATGCTAATTAGGTTGTATTGGGCTAACCGTAATTGATAATTGGGCTAACGGCCCATTTACGAGTGGCCGAAGCCCATAACAGATTCGGCTCGGAGATCATCGGGCATCGGTTCCATTTCGGGTATCGCAGGACCTTGAAAACTTCTTGGTGGTGCAGCGATTTGAAGCTCGTCTCTCCATTGATTTCTTCGCTGATCAACGGCGGTGAAGCTTTGGATCCTGTGGATCTCATCGTGATCAGAGACAGATTAATTTTTTATGATGGAGGAGAGTAGATTCGGCTCAGACTGTGGCTGTTCGAATCGGAATTTCGTCCTTTTCATAGCTCAGCTTCAGGTAATTTCATTCCGTCTTCTTTCTACCTTTTGATTCTCTTATTATTTGCTTGGATTGTTTGGATCTGAGTATGCGGTGGCTGATGAGTGTGTGTGTGTGAGGGAGAGAGAGAGAGAGAGAGAGAGAACCTGCATTTAGTCATCTTATGAAATTAATGTTAGGAGCTTGAACAAATTGCAATTCACGTGAAACATTGTTTTCAACCTAGATCAATGAATTCTGTTAGTTGAGGTTTATATGCAGAAAGTAGTTCAGAACGGTTTCTTGAAAAAGAAATTTCAGAGAATGGTTCATGATTCTGCTCGTGTTTTGGTTGTAATGGTTCATGATTTAAGTTTATGCGATACTTAGAGTTGGAGGCTTTAATTTTTCAGGTTCCATGATAGATATAATCAATTGAAGTATGGGATTATCTAGTGTTTGGAAAGTTGTTCGACTGATGTGAAGGTACTGTTAGTTAATCAAGAAGGTTGGTTTGAAAGATGAACTTTGAACTTTTTTTAACTCTGCACACTGTGAAAGAGAAGCAATAAAGATGGTTGCAGTTTACTGAACAGAAGATGAAGAGGAGCTTCATTTTAAAGAACCCAATTGCCTTCGTATTTATGATTCTATCTCTTTGTTGCATACTTATTGTACTCATCACAACGCTAAGGCTTCCAGAGCTAACTGTAGGAGATAAGGCTGTTGCCAGTAATCAGATTTCAGTGATCAGAAAGGTCCCCAAAGATGATAAGTTGGGCAAGTTCGGAGAGATGATGATCAAAATGTTGCCTAAGGATCTTGCTTTTACTGTCTTTATCCCTTCAGAGAAGGCTTTCGAGCGCGAATTGAGTTTACAAGTAAATGAAAGTTTGACGACTGAGAAATTGGACGACACATACACCGTGATTTCAAGAATATTAGGTTTCTCCGCTGTTCCTCGAACTATTTACTCGACTTCGGTAGATTACGGGAATGAGATTTCATATGATGCTGTTTCTGGATTCACATTGAACATTTCCAAGGACAGAGATGGGATGCTGATTGTTAACCGTGTGAGGTCTGAAACGGTGGATATAAAGAAGAAGGATGTTCTTGTGCATATAATGGATGGCGTTATAATGGATGCTGCGTTTGAGCAATCAGTAAAGCCTGATGACAGTGAAGATTGAACCTGTAAAAAGCAGCTGTTTATTATCTTTTTTGACCATACATTCCAAACCAGTAGCTTCCATAGTAACATCCTGGTCAATAGATTCCTATCCTTTTAGATTTACGAAGTTTTCAATGGTTTCAAGGCCTAGATGTTAGCCATTTGATCAGTTGGCTATGATTTTGGTGTCGATGTACTTGTTAACTTCTTGCTTACAACTTGGCTCATAACTTACAATGTGAGGATGAGGGCCCATTCCATGAGCAATATTGAGATGGGGAATTGTTGAATTGAATATTAGGGAAGCAAAACCAAGGAATGACATATATTTGGATAAAAATAGTTTTTATGAACTCCGAAGCATTGAATCCACACATTGGTTTCTCGTGATAAACCCCATTTTAATTTCTCAATTTCCAACATTCGCTGATTAACAGTACATCCAACGCCTCACTCATTCAACCTCGTCTACGAGTCTGGAGCATGCACTTGAGAATGTCGAAGCCTTTTTTGCAAATTCCCCCCTAAAATAGGAAAAATAATAACCAAAATCCCTCCACCCATCAAAGTGCATAGAGGTTGAAGGGAAAATTTAAAGAAATTAAAACCCTAACTACACTACAACCTTAGAACTCATTGACAACCACCGTAAGTTTTGGATACTGATGAATCTGATCTACAGAAAGCTTAAACGAAGATCCAATGGCGGATGATCCATTTTTGTCTCTATTTTGTAGGTGAAAGATGTTGCGTCCTCGAACTGCTTCCCATCTACTCTGAACTGATGATAATCATCTGATCCTTGTGTTTCATCAATGGAGTTTAGTGGAAAAAGTTGAAGCGTTTTCATCATTCTTTCTGGCTCCAACTCCATTATACCCTTATTTGTGCTCGACTGGTCTGCAAAATCTGCTCAAACCAGAAAGAAAACAACACAAAACCATGAAACAAAACTCAACCCAGATTCGTGTTTTTAGAACCAGAAATGGATAGAAAGGAGGTGAGAAACATACGGTTAGAGGGTGGAATAATGTTGTTGTTGTTGTTGTTGTGGTCATTAGAGAGATGAAGAGGATGAAGGAAATGCTGCTGTTGGTGAGAGTGATCAAGAGAAAGGGAAACTTTGCGACGCTTTTGTCTCTCACGAGCTTTATGATTCTGAAACCAGTAGAACACATTCTTGCTCTCGATCTTGCCGTAAAAGCTGAGCTGATGAGAGATTTTCTGAATCTGATCGCTACTCGGAGTTCTAAGCCCTGACCTGAACAGCTCTGTCAGCACCTTTACTTGTTCTGCAGTTGGATTCCATCTCCCACATTTACTACTCCCACTTCCCTTTCCACCTCCGCCACCGCCACCCTCTCCGCTGCATCCGCCCCCTTTTACGTAAATTCTAGAACAAACCCCATCCTCCATATTAATACTCTTCCGGCTCATCCAACACAGACAGAGAGATGACCAACTAAGCCTCCGCCCCCTGAGACTGAAACTGAAACTGAAACTGAAACTTCTTCTCTCAGAAAGAAAGGTTTAGGAAGTCAGAAAAAGTGCACTGTGCTCCCTCTTCTATTCTCTCTCTCTCTCTCTTTACATAAGAATAGTATATGTAAGAGTTGGAGATAATTTATAATTCTATTCACTTTCTTCTCATGTGACACTATTTTTACTATTATTGCATTTAATAGATTAGGTGTAGATTTCATTATAAATTCTTTTTCCAATAAAAATACGTCATAATGGAAAGTAAGCAAGGGTTCCAAGCGTTTCTGCCTACAGGTACATAGATAGGTCTTGTTCTCATATATAATGGAAATTTCATTAGAAATTCGATTCCTTTTCTTAAAAAAAAGGATTTTTTTTTTTAATCCTCGTGTAAATGCTGTAGAGTACATGTACTTCTTTCCTTCTTTCCTTGATATTGTAGATTCACACCTCATAAGTACTTTGAAAATGTAGTTTTGTTGGTTAGTTTGTCTTGTTGGTCTACTTCTCGACAAAGTGATTGAAATAAGTCAATTATAAGATAGCTTAGTAGATAAATACCCGTTATCATCTTAAAGATCGATAGTTTGATGAGTTAAAGAAAGCAGAAAGAGGTTTCTTTCTATTTAGTCTTTTGTCCAAGCAAGAGTAAGAGGGTGTTTTTATAAAATGTGTTTGTAGGATTACCCTTTTGTTTATGAATAAGGTGCTTCGATTTTAGGGAAACAAAAGATTGGATTGAAGATGAACACCCATTTGATGAGGTTTTAAAATTTGTGGCCTGGTTTTTTGTGCATAGAGAGAGTGTGTGTGTGTGAGAGAGAGAGATGGCAATTAGGCATATGGAGGGACATGCGCAAAAGCTGCCACTGGAGAAAAATTTCGGTCGCCCGAGGAGACAAAGATGCAAGTTTCATTGATTGTCAATAACATTAAAATAATTGTGATTTTGAGTCTCATGGATCAAAGTTCCATTTTTTTTAATGGGTTTGGTGTTTTTCAGTAAAGCATGCACTTACTCTGTCCAAAAAGAATGGGACAAAAAGAGAGTTTTCATATTTAATAACTCATCTTCTCGAATCCCAAATAAGGTTTGAATCTAAATACCTCAATTGGTTTGGTGAAGACATCAATACAGTACCGACCATAACAACTATGATATAACTTTAAGCTTTAAATGGACGCTACTTACTTCTAACTCATATGAGAAGGGATGGTTCGGTTCGATCGGTGATCGTTGAAGAACAGATGTAAATATGGGTAAGACAAGGTGGGGGGGGGGGGGNNNNGGGGGGGAGAGGATTTGAGGGAATGTGGAATGAAAAGTCAAAGTGAATTAGGGGATTGTCTGAATGTGTGTTGGAGGGTTGTGATTAAAAGAGACTGACAGAGATACTAAATTGACCAAAAGTGGAAGGTTGGCCAAAAGGATCAAATTTGGGTTTGGGATTTTAAATTTATGAGAAAAGGAGAGTTAAGAGTGGGAACACAAGCATAGAGACAACAAAAGCCACCAATGTTTTTTTTTTTTTTTGATAGAAGAGAGAGAGGAGCAGCCAAAAGTGGGAGCATAGCTTTGGATTTTACCTTGTCATAAGCCTCTTGTCTTAACTCTAAGGACACTTTGTTCCACAAACTTCAAATTTTTATGAACATACCTTTGTCTTCAAAGTCTTGTCTTTATTTTCACTAAATTTATTACAAATTACAGCACTTCTATGAGAACTAATTGTTTTTATGCTCTTTGTTTTTAACTATCTTCAACAAGTTGCATGTGAAATCTATAGTTATTTACGAACACAAGTCTCCGATTAATATAATTAGTTGAAAAACAACAGTAGCGATCCAAATTACCATTTTTGTGTGTAAGTAACTAAAGATTGTAGTTTGAAAAGAATCATGAGTAATGGTAAATGAATGGCACAGAGACACACACTACAAGAACACACGTCAAAAAAACAAAAGGAAAAATCAAAACATTGTTGTTATTGTGTGTTTAAACTAACAATGATTCTAAGCAGCATAGTGTTTTGGGTTTCTAAAGATATAGAACAGCGATTTGGAAGAACATGAGAATTTGAAAATAAAATATTAAGAAAAGAAAAGAAAACACAGTCTTCCAGAGGGTGAGAGGAATGGATTTATGCATTTGAAAAGCAACAAAAAGAATGAACAGAGAGAGAGAGAGAGAGAGAGAGCATTCCAAATCAAGGATGTGACAACAAAATCATCCACACATCGCTAAAAGTGCCATTTAAATGGTCCTATCTTCTTGTCTACAATAAACCATACAAAACCCTTAAACAAAAATTTTGCCCTTTTTTCTTTAGTAAATCAAAAACATAAGTAGGATTCCCGTAAAAGTAAAAGTAAAAGTGATCTCACCTAAAATATGGAACATAAATTTGTTGCATGCCAGGAGGCAACTTATAAGCCTTAATGTTATCCGTCTCTGTTTGATAATCATTTTATGAACTAAATAAATATGGATTTCAAATTTCTTTCAATCTAACCTTATTTTTTTGTTTCAGTTTGCGAAAGTGGGACAAGAATCAAACGACCGATCTTACAAGAAGATAAGAACTAGGTCGGGTAAGATATGAGTGTACATATATGTGGATGTTTGCATTAAACAGAAAAAGAAAGAAAAAAATGGTAAGAGGGACGTTCTTTTTGTATGAAGAATGTAAAAGGAAATAATAGTAATAAAAGTGGAAGAAAGAGGAGAGTGGAAATGGTTAAGAGAGAGAGAATGTTAATCAGTGAGAATCGAGAAAGGGTTAAGCTGGAAATTAGGGCACGCTTCATTACACCTTTAGTTTGGCCCCCACTACTGCCTACCCCTTCTTCTCTTCTTCCCTTTTTCAATGAAGAAAGAAGTGTAAATTAGGGGGACACAAAAAGAGGGAAACAAACGCACTATTGGAGTAATTATTTTTGAACACAACATCGACATCGACATCGACATCGACAACGTATAATCAGATCAGGAAAAGCCAAACCTATAATCCACATTCCCTACCCTTCCCTTCCATTAATTATTATTTACTTTTGGGGGCGCAATGCAATGCAATGCAAATGCAATTCAATGCAACCCCACAATCATTCAATAATGCAATGCAAATGCAATTCAATGCAACCCCACAATCATTCAATCATCCACCTCCACGTCTCACTTCCCCACATCCCAAACAACCACCTTATACAATATTATATTCACTTCTTCATTTCATTTCTCCGGCGTCATATTTTCGTTTGCTTTATAGAATTGCTTCTCAACAGTATAAACCCTTTAAATTTTGGTTTACCACAAAAATCTTAACACATCTTATAAACCAAACACTGAAACTTTGTTTACTTAATCGATAAAAACATTGTTGCGCTTTGTTTCTAACCCCAACGGGAATAGTATCTCATCTTCTAGAAAATTGAAAGTGGATCATATTGTTGCCTTTAAACGACCAATTATACTCCAGAGTATGGGCGGAAAATTGGGCATCTGGGCAATGTTCTTGATGGTAATAATGGTAGTACAACCCTCGTCCGTTAAACTAGGCAATATATTCCACAAAGCAGCGCAGTATAAGAGAATCTGACAATGAACTCAACATTTATAAGAAAAAAAAAAGGTTTTCAGGAGGGGAAGGGAGCATTTCGTAGGACCAAGTACCCGAATTCTTAGATTTTTGGTCAATCACCAAATAAATAACACGCAAAATCGGTTGAAGAAGTTACAGAATCTGAGCAGCCGTATTCAACTTTTCAGCCAAGCTCAGCTGTGTTCTGGTGATACTTGATAAATACAGCAACAGCAAATGGTCCTGGGAAGAAGTGAGAATGGGAGGTAAATGGACAATCCATTAACGAGACACCAAACTCAAATAATAACTCATAATTTAACCACCCACTTGATAACAATTTGGTGTTTTTTTATTTTAAGTTCTTGAAAATTGGATTTATCTCCCCACAATTTGCAAAAATAAAACCATGTTCTTTTTTAGTTTTCAAAACATAACTAGGATTTTAAAAACACTCCTAAGGGGTAATGACAAAACAAAGAGTTATCAAATGGGGCCTTAATATTCAACTAATATTGCAGCCTCTACTTCAGAGAATCAAAATATATAAGCTACGATAGAATAACCATACCTGCACGTTGTCATTCATCAGCTTATCGAAAGCAGCTGGCGACAGTTTTGGAAGAGAGGCTACAGTGTCAGCAAGAAATCTCCCTATCGTGTTGTCTGCCTCAACATGCCCTTCCTGAGAGAGTAGTAACATAAGCAAACAAAAGACTATTTCTAAAAAAAGTAGAAGACCCAAACGTCACTCACCACAACGTTATCAACATATTTGTAAATATCGTCGATTAAGGCAAGCAATCTCTCCATTGAAGCTTCCATTCCTTCCAAATCATTTGGCAGTTTATCAACAGAAGTTGTCTTCAGAATATCAACTGTTAACAGAAAACTGACTTGAAGAAAGTTTTGAAATTTGATTGGACAGGATTAACAAACAAACTCGATACATTAATAACTGCAATAAGGCTTAAGGGAAAAAAAAATTCACAATCTATGTTCATATGTGAACAAAAACAAGCAAAGCTACAAAATAGGAATATTTACATCCGTATCATACCAAGCTAATGTTGTTCTAACATATGTCGGGAATATTAAAAAAGTATTAAGGATCAAATATTGCATACAGCTGTCAATGAGGCAACCTAAACTTTGTGCATGCATTTACGTCAATGAAAAATGGATGTGCGGATATGTGTATATGACATAGATTGTGCAGCTTAGACACTTCAATAATGAAAGTAAAACATGAGCGTGGAATAAGTTCATACATCCAAGTCTCTCAGCTTCGATCATTCGAAGATCTAAAGGAATTTCTTGAAACTGAGCAGCAAGCTGTCTATCTCCGAGGGACAAATTGACAGAGATATAGGCTTTTATTGTTCCTTCACCATTGTTAAATCCAGTATCAACGGTCAGATGAATAGGGTTTGCAACTTCTCTAGAATAAAATTCGTGTATCAATGCACTGCCACCCGTAACTCCCATACCAGTTGAGTACCTGTCAGTATTTGTGGTGTATTAGGCACTATAAGAAAATGTGTCTATCACTATGCCTTCGAAGAGAGTATCACAGAAACTTTGGGTGGACTATGTAGCAACATTACGAGCAAAGCATCCATTTAAATTTTTCGACCTAGGGTAGTATATGTAACTAAAATAACATAGTGAATTTGTGGCCTTTCAATAGGTATGAAACAAAAAGAAGTTAGCAGCCAAATTCCTTCTAATGAGAAACCAATTTCATCCGGAAAAATAAGAAATATGCAGAGGCAAATGGGCAAAGCCAAAGGGGCAACAGACAATAGTTGCAAAAACAAACTGTGGAAATAAACTGTAGGAATTTAACTAGAGTTGATAAAGATGAGGAGAATTCAAAGGATCATATGTTGGATGATATTGTATTTCTCTTGTTGGGCTCTTGTACTAAATCGTTTAATTTGTAACTCCGCAACTTTTGTTCAACTTCTGCCTTAATGATATCCAGTATAGCTGATAAACATAGTAAAGAAGGATCGGCTTTACCATCCAACGATAACCTCCTTTGGATTAACTTTTTGGTGGGAACTTAACATATTGTGATGATAGTCAATATCCAGAGCAACCTGTTATGATGAAAAGAGTGAAAGTGAAGTATTAAAGAGTGAAATAGGGAATTTGGAATATACAATTTTTTTGCAAAATGGTAGAACAAACATGACCGTTACTAGCAAGTCTAACCTAAAATATCATTTGAATTCAATGAAACAAAGAACGTATAAAAATCATAAAGGTCTATCTCAACCATAATTTAAATGTTCACGATTCTCTTGTATATGTAATTTGCATGAATTATTAAGGAATTTTACGAAGTACGATATAATCGAAAACCAAATTGAAAAAAGGAATAGAGGGAAGACAGGGAACCCTAATTTTCCCAACGGGACAGAGGACGAAATAAATTCGTCAAGGAAAAATATAGAAACAAGGGCTTTAATTATCACCCAAAAATCAATAAGAACGCCAAGAATATGTGGCAACCCAAACAATTACATCGAGGAAACAACAGAGATGAGATTAATACAGAGTAAGGAGGACCTGATCCGAAAACTCGTTATGAGGAACAGCATAAGAGTTGCGAATATCAACGGTTCCATCAGGTAAAACCGAGCCAAGAAGAGTACCGATTACTCGATCTGCCTGGTCAGGGCGCCTCACATAGCAATCACAAATGTTGAAGATAACCAGAGGGTGAACCTTCGCAGATAACGTGTTAGAAGACTGTGAAAATTGTAAGACCGTGCTCTCCGTCGTTGCCATTGCTTGAAGTTCGAATTAACCTATCTCCGTAAAAATGGAGGCCAAGAGAGACGACGAAGGAGCAGAGGCGAATGCTAGGGTTTCTGTTCTACCTCCAATTTTTGGAAGAAGACACATAACAATTGGGTCGTTGAATACGCACCTTATTGGGCCTAATGAATTCGGCCCTATCATTATATTCATTATTAAATATATATAATATGTAGTTAAGTTACGAACATCAAGCCCGTCTAGCTCAGTTGGTAGAGCGCAAGGCTCTTAACCTTGTGGTCGTGGGTTCGAGCCCCACGGTGGGCGCTTTTTTGGTAATATCTTATTTGTTAAATAAACTTTCGTTCTTTTTTTTTTTTTTTTTTTTTTCTGAATTTTCAATTTCTCCAATATATATTATGTTAAAAACATATTAAATAAACTTAAAGCATCATTGACAAATTCCACTTAAAAAAAAAAAAAAAAAACTCAATTGCTTTACCGATGTAAATCCATATTTAAATATTATGATTTCTTTTATAATTTTAGAATTTAAGAACTAAATCTATTTATAATTCAACATTGGTGTAAATATATGGCTTCATCCAAACAAATGTTTAATCAATAAATTGAGGCAAAACTTTAAACATGTCATTATACAAGCAATGCAAGATTTTACATTCTTTTAATAAAAAAAATAATTAATTAAATTTGCTGTATTTTCCATCCCTGGGGTCCATCCAGACCTATTTTGTATAATAAATTTAGAACCAAAGTCAATCTTTGTTGTAACTCGGTCAACCCGAGTCAGAATCAGTCCTAAAGCTTCATCCGGGTCCTCCTATCCGACCCGTAAACACTGTGCATATCGCCGAGAAACGTCTTGGCAGCATCCAAACTCGGGAAATAGGTGGATTCCAGAAATATTTGACTCAGTGAATCGTCCGAGTTTGAACTCACCACGACTCGGTTCCCCTTCGCCTCTAAGCTTCCCATCACCATTACCAGAACTTGCTTGTAGGCGAAGAAAAACTTCTTTATCGCCGATTCGATCGATTGCAGGGCTTGAAGCAGATGAATCTTCTCGATCTCTCGCTTCTCGCTGTACAATCTCATCGCCGCCTCTTGAATCCTTGGTCCGCCCATTGGATCCACCTCCACATCCAAGATGAACGGCACCTTGTGCTTCAGATCCTTGCACTGCTTCGTAATCTCCACCAGCGTCGTCGATCTGAAGCAAAATGCCTCCGATTCCTGCAGCGATTTGATCGCTAATTGATTCTTCAGCTTTAGGAAATCATCCGGATCCATCAGAAGGTGAAGATCTTCAATCTCCTGTAGAACCTTCCAGATGCGCTCCATCAGATAGCAATCCTTCGCGGCTCTGGCGAAATTCTTCATCTCGATTCTCTCTGCAATTCGTTTCAGAAGCTCATGCGCGGCGTAAATCCACGACTCCAGGATCTGGTGCGTTGTGTAGACCGTTTGATTCTCGTAATTTTCAATTTGATCGTACGGACTCTTTCTCAGAGAATGAAGCTCGTTTGGCCTGCAAATTTGGTCGTAGTCGATATTCGGCTTGCCGACCAAATTTGGCTCCCCTAACCCTAGCGTGTACGGACATCTCCTCATCTCGCACTCAACGGAGTACTGAATCATCTGCGCGATGTCTTCAGAGCTCTGCCACGACGCAAGTCGAGGAAGAAGACTCAATTCACTTGTTCTGCTTACAACGGTAGCTTCTCCGCGAATCTTCCAGACCTCCGCCGAGCTTCCCTCGCGAGTTATGACGCCGTTGGATGAACTGAGATCAACGATCGGAACTCTGCCGCGCGCTTCGTCGTCCTCTTCATCGTCTTCAAAAATCATAGCAATGAGTTGGATCTGACTCGTGGTGAGAGACTCAAGCTTCCTCTTCCACTCCCAGCGGTTAACATACGGCCGGGGATCGGACAAGACGATCGAAATGAAGCGGAAAGTAATCTCCAAAGCTTGCAATCCCGGCTTCAAAACCGACTCACTTGTCCATTCCGGAAACTCCTTAGAGCTCCATAGCTTCCTGAGATCGTTGAGGCGAAGGTAGTGGTCGTACGAAGAACAAGAGGAAGGCGAGGCAGTGGATATGTCTGAAGAACGAAATGAAAGAGGAAGGGATAGACTGAGATTGGCGGTGGGGATGAGCTTTGGGGATTTAGTGGTGGTCTTGTCAGAGGAAACCATGTTGGCCTTCCAACCCAAATCGACCATCTCTGACACGAGAAGGAAAGAAAGAAAGAACGGTTACTACAAATTTGAACTGAATTTTCGCTATTGTGGAAGTTGCTGAAGAATTTGTTTATGGAGAAGGAATGGAGGAAGAAGATGGATATTTATAGGTGGCAGTATAAATTTGAACGACACAAAGTCGTGTTTGGAATGGTTTTCTTTTTTATATAATAAATATTAAAAGAATAATAATTTAAGAAAAAAAATGCAAATTGTGGAAGAAGTTGTGAAGCTTATCCAGAATCCCAGCGAACGGGGGAATTCAAAACCCAAATAAATTTTAAAAAATAAAATAAAAATTTTAAAAAAGGAAATTTCCAGGGGGGATGGAAATGGTTGAAATTGGACCCGGTTGGGTTTGGTTGAATGTACCGCGTGGAAATGGCAATGAAATGGAAGCCCATTCATCCCCTTGCCCCCATCTCATTTCTGCATTTTGTAACCCCCCACCCACTCACCTCTCGCCACCTGTCACCATCGCCTTTTAGTTGACCGTTTATTCCTCACATATGCCTCCACGTAAACCAACTACATAGTTGAGTTGACCCATCCAAACCAAATTCTTTAATTTTTTAAATCACATTTTAATTATTTATAATTTTTATTTTAAGGAAACTCCAAATAAAAATAAAAAAGTGTACAAGCCCAAAAAGTAAAACACGGCTAAGTCCACAAAGTATTATCTTTTTAGAAAAAAAAAAAAAAAAAAGAGCATAATTTAAGAAGGGCATCCAAATAATTTTTATAAATATATTGTTCGCTTTAAACTCGTTGTGTATCTCGGTCCATCTTACAATTTTAAAAGCATATATTATAAAGATTTTCAAACTCTTATAACTAATTATAATTACTTTCATCGACTGAACTGGAAGCTCACACTTTAGTCAATAATATATATCCCTATCGTTATCCTTTGTATTATGCTCAAAAAAAAAAAAAAAAACACATTTTCGCCTCTTTTTTTTTTCACTCTTATCTTATCCCTTTAATCCACACTTTAAAAAAAGAAAAATAAAAAATTTGCTGAATATTCTTGTTTGATCTTGTCGAATTGGAATAAAAAGTTGCATCAGTCGAAGATTAACGTATAAATATGAATAAGTTTGGTAAAATTGACCCAAACTTATCATAAAAAATGAATTGACATAATGTTTTATAGTGATGTTGTTGTAATTAGGATGAAATGGTTTAGTTTTGGAATTTTATATGGGCGAGTTGGTGTGGCCGTGGCCTTCCCGCCTTTAGCCGGAATACCTAATGCACATATCAACGGCAAGCTTCTTTAAAAAATTAAAATCAAATTAAATAAAAAAACATCCACTCTGGAAAATATATGGATAGGATCAAAAATACCTTGACTTTTATATTTTACAAATAATCAAAATAAAATAATTTAAACTTGTTTGACACGACCATTTCATTTTAAATAATAATATACTGCTTACTAGTTTTATCCCATTTACTAATTTATTACTATTGTTACTTTTTTTTTTTTTTTAATTAAATTTGTGTATACATGAATAAAACGATGTTATGTATATAAGTCAAAAAGAATCGATATCGACTTGGTGCCAAATCCACACACGCTTTGGCGGTCAAGTTAGAATTACGTAATGAAATTTTAATCTCGTTAATGTAGTCCAATAATCCAACAAAGCTCTCAAATGTTATACATTGAATGAACAAAGGAAACGATTTTGATTGGGCTACAACAAAAAGAGTCGACCTCACATGGGGTCAACCAAAGGCAATCTCATTGGTCATGGTCGACCCCATGTGAGGTTAGTTTTTTAAAACTCAGGCGACTCACACAAGTTGACCATCTAGATTATGAGCTTGAGCTCTCTTACCCGTGTCATTAGTCTCATTTTTAAAATTTTTGTATGTTTCATGTACTTTTTAATTTAAGCATAAAATTGATTTTTAAACTTTCACCACATGCTTTTTTATTCCATTACCATTGTTTGCCAGTTGTTAACAATAAATAATTAAGTCTTTTCAATTATTTTCTTATCCACCAAAAATTCCTTTGGATAACTATAGCTGAACGGATTGGATGTGAGCTCCAATACCCAAAGCTTTATGCCACAAAATAATATATTTGGATGAAAAATATATATAATTTTTTATCTGCAAAAATAAATAATTTTATTTCACAAAAACCACACGTATTCTTTATTTATTATTTATATTCATAATAATATAATAAAAATCCAGCCAGAATCCTTTTTTATATACAAAATATGAGAAATTAAAGATTTAAATAATAATAAAGAATTATTTTTTTAATGGGACAAATGTGCTGAAACATATCCAATATTGAGAATATGCAAATGGTATTGAGAAAGAAGTGAAATAATGGACAATGGGTTCCCATTCAAATAAATAAAATTAAAAATGGATTTCAAAACGACGTGCTTTTCTGCGTTTCCATTACCGCCCATTCCAATCAAATTACACCAACACCACGTGTCAAACTACTACTCGCCTAACCTACTGACTCGGATACCAGCCACCCACTTCAACCTTTCCCAATTGGTGTCTGACTCGGATCGCTTTCTTTTTTTCTTCCTCTCTCTCCCGCCAACTAAGTAATCACAATCACAAATCACGCATGTTCGGTTGCCGACACGTGGTATGGCAATCACGTGTTCCGCCAACTGATAATCAATTCCAGCTGTCGGATCACACGCGGACATATCCGACTGCACAGGCGGTGCCAAAAAGGCCACGCCGATTGTCCCACGTGGCTGTACAGTTGGATTTAGAAATGGCCTTAAAAGCTATTTTAATATTAAACAGTAATCAACTCATAAGCTATTTTAATTTATTTAATAGCGTCATTATACAGGCCTCAAAGCTGACCAACTTATCCCATAAATCCTCATTAATCGATATCAAGTATCTAATCACGGGCAACTTATGCCACGTACTTTATATATATATATATATATATATATATATATATATATATATATATATATATATATTATACAAATAAAAAAATAAAAAAACAATTGTGAAAAAAATGTTGGGGGCTGTGGAACATGCGGCGTGTAGTTTTGTTGACTTTAGAGATGATTCAAAACAGCCGAACAGATGTTGCGCCTGAAAATGGGGCATTAAATTTTAATTCTATATGACTAAATTAGCAGAAATAAATAAATAAATAAATAAATATATTTAGTGGTTAATTCGATGGTAATTGTAAATTAATTGTTAAAAAGAATATTTATAACTATTATTTTACCTCATGGACGTTCCATATCTGAATTAAATAAAAATAAAATAAAATCATCCTAAATTAAAATAAAATCTTTAGAGATTGGAATCCCAACTATTAAAATAGAATAATTTTGAAAGTTAAAAGATTTAAATAAAATTCAAAGGAAGTAAAAATAAACTGCAAAAAAATCAGTCAATGATCTTAAATATTCGTGTAGCTGGAGATAAAATGGTACCGAAAATGGCATAGCAAATTGGATGAAGGGGAGGTTGTTGAGTGAATTAGAAGGTGAAATTCCTTGAAGCCTAAGCCATTTATTGGGGAACGGTTGGAATGAAAACAGCATATGGAATATATACTAATTTCTTACGCATGGGTCATAAAAACCCAAAATTAACGATTAAAAATTAAAATGAAGATAATTATCATATGTTATATCATTTGAGGTCAGATATTTAAAATTTGATGCACATCTATACATCTGAATAATACTTTACGATAATTGATATGTACTATTGTATTTGAAGTTAGAGGTTCGTATGGAAACCACAACCATACGACATACTACTGTGCAACCATGTAATATGTTTGGTACTCTACCGATATTTCATGTCACATACTTTATGAAAGTAAATTGTTTTTATAAATTATTTTTGTCATAAAAATTCCATTAAGATCCCTAGAAAAATCAAGATTTTTTTAAAAAATATATTATTTTTAAATAATAATGTATCGTAGTTTGATTGGGCTTTAGTGAACAAACTTTGTGACAAAGCCCATGAAACGGCCCAACTCAATTCAACCGCAATCCTAGCTGGCCCAGAAAATGAAATTACGTCGCGTGTGCCCCAAACGCGACCTTATTATCCCTTTAATTAACTAAACTTCATGATATGGAAAGCCATTTTGATTACCGGTGCATGCCGCCGGTCTGCGTTGGCCGGCGGCGGCTAGCAATTAATATCGGGATTGATACTCAGATATGGTAGCTGGTGCCTTAGTAATGCATTCTGTTTCTTTTCCCTTTTTGGCTGCGTATTTTCCTTTAATTCGTCAACTCTCCTTCCCTTCCCCTATTTGGGTCCTCAAAAAGTTTAAATTTTTGCTCGATTTTTATAGTCCTCTCTGTCTAGATCCATCAAGAACATGATAATATCCAAACAGGTTGAAGAAGCCAGTTTCTCAGGGCAGAATCAAACCATGGTTGAATCAAATGAGAGCGATCGAGAAGATAAGGCGAATGAATTACCATTTAGCTTCAAAAGCCTCCTCTGGCATGGAGGCTCTGTTTATGACGCCTGGTTCAATTGTGCATCAAATCAGGTCCCAAAGCTTCAAAACTTACCAATCCCACAAAAACCCATCACTTTTGTTCAAGTCTTTTCTTTTTACAGGTCGCTCAGGTGCTGTTATCTCTGCCGTACTCTTTCTCTCAACTGGGAATGCTCTCAGGCATCATATAAGTATTTTACGGCATTATGGGAAGCTGGACTGCATATTTGATTAGCATTCTTTACGTTGAGTATCGAACACGAAAGGAAAAGGAGAATGTTAGCTTCAAGAACCATGTCATTCAGGTTAGAACATCCCATCAGCAAATTGGGAACTTTTGTGCATTTTCTTGATGAATTTATTTGTTAATTCAGTGGTTTGAAGTGCTGGATGGGCTGTTGGGTCCATACTGGAAGGCTGCTGGCCTGGCTTTCAGCTGTACTTTCCTCCTCTTTGGCGCTGTCATTCAGCTAATAGCTTGTGCAAGGTGCATACACCACTCCACACCTCCATGGCGCCTGTTCTCTGCTGGGTTTGAACTGTAATGCGTGTGTTTGTGAATGGCATTGGCAGCAACATATATTACATAAATGACAAGCTGGAGAAGAGGACATGGACTTACATATTTGGAGCGTGCTGTGCCACGACTGTGTTTGTGCCATCTTATCACAACTATAGAATAGCGTCTTTCCTTGGCCTTGGAATGACCACTTACACTGCATGGTATTTGACCATTGCAGCTCTTCTTCATGGCCAGGTCTCTTCACTCATCGAATCAATGCTCCTTTTTAGGCCTTTTTTGGATTTTATGATCGTTTTTTGAGTTCTTTTTTTTTTTAATGTTTTTAAGGTCGAGGGTGTCAAACATTCAGGTCCAACCAAAATGGTGCTCTACTTCACTGGTGCAACCAACATACTCTACACATTTGGTGGCCACGCCATCACTGTGTAAGCAGCTCAGGCTCACCGTTAGCATACATGACGCTCTTTAAGCTTTCATTTATGGATTTTCTCTTAAAATTTTAAAATTGTTATTTCACACCTTTCTATAAAAACTGTTTCATTTACCTCTAGAACATACGTGTGATCTCACAATCCACCTCTTCCAGAGACTTAACGTCATTGTTGACATTAATTCCACTCTTCGATTACATGAATTTTAAGAAAAATAAGGATAATTAAAATTAAAAAAGATATAATTTTTATTAAAATATTGTGAATTTTGGGCCAAAAGTATTTATTTTATTTTTTAATTTTATTAAATTTCAAATTTGATACGAGAAAAAGAAAAATCTGAAAAGGGAAATTTGGCGCGGTAGGGAAATAATGGACGCCATGTGGAAGCCTCGAAAATTCAAGACTATTTATTTCAGTGCCACTCTTTACGTCTTCACTTTAACCATCCCCTCCGCTGCCGCTGTCTACTGGGCTTTCGGCGACCAACTCCTTACTCACTCCAACGCCTTCTCTCTTCTTCCCGTCAGCGGATGGCGTACCGCCGCCGTCGTTTTCATGCTCATTCATCAGGTTTGTTTATACTACCTAAATTTCATTGCAAATTTGATTTGACGTCAAACGGTTGGGTGCAGTTCATAACATATGGGATTGCTTGCATCCCATTTTGTTTTGTGTGGTAGAAAGTGATTGGAATGCATGAAAACAAGAGCATTGTCTTTCAGTTCCATAGTTCTTACTCCTCATTGCGAATTTTGATTTTCTCACTATTTTTTTTTGTTTATGCATTTGATCGAACGGTTGGTGTGCAGTTTGTAACATTTGGGTTTGCTTGTACGCCGTTGTATTTCGTGTGGGAGAAAGTGATTGGAATGCATGATTCAAAGAGCATGTGTCTGAGGGCGCTTGCCCGATTACCGGTTGTGATACCCATTTGGTTTTTGGCCATTATTTTCCCCTTTTTTGGACCCATCAACTCTGCGGTGGGGGCGCTTCTGGTTAGCTTCACCGTCTACATCATCCCTTCTTTAGCACACATGCTCACTTTCAGATCTGCCTCTGCCCGACAGGTAAATGCCTTTGTCTCTTTATCCTTCTATTTCATTTCTTCAATTACATTTTACATAATACCTATGTATTCAATCTCCCATCACTTCTTGACCATATCATTTGCTGGGTCATAGTTTGATTTGGTCTAAATTTCCGATAATTTTGCAATCTAAGCTAATAGCTGAATCATTGAAAATTTAATGCAAACTTGGTTAAGAGTTCAGAACATTCCTTACGTAGTCTTGAGCTGTTTTTACCATGTGCTTTGTTCAGAACATTCCTTATTTAATGCAAACTGGTTGAATATTCTGTTTGTTACCTGTGATTCAGCCTTTAATGATATGTAGAATTCTAATGAAGCGAACCAAGAAGCTACCATAGTCGTAAACCCCTGTATAAATTTAGATGGATGAAGATGATGATAGTAGAATCTACTTTGGGTGCAGAATGCTGCAGAGAAACTTCCCTTCTTCCTCCCTAGCTGGGTAGCCATGTATGTGGTGAACAGTTTTATAGTGGTCTGGGTCCTGGTCGTTGGGTTTGGATTTGGAGGGTGGGCTAGCATAGCCAACTTCATCAAGCAAGTCGACACTTTTGGGGTTTTTGCGGAGTGCTACCAGTGTCCACCCAAGGCCCCAACAACTGCCCATCATTGAATTGTCTCTCTACTGTATAAATATCGAAGGCGTACACAGAAGAGCATCAGACTTCCCCTCCTGATGTGCACATATTAATCAGCCAAATCTTGTCTCTTTCATCTTTGTGTTTTTTACATTGGATGAGTATTTCGATATTTACATTAACTTGAATAGGTTTTAGTTTCAAGAATAACCATTGTGTTATTTGAGATTTTTAGAAACTAAGATAATTACAATGTGTTTCTACCAAGAGTCGATTTCATAATCTCGAAAGTTAAAAGTGAAAATTAATACACTTTCAAAAGTCTTATCGTGTGCGAGGATTGAAGTATTGATGTTGGAATTCATACATATTTTACGAATATGCCCATTTCGATTCGGTTTTCGTTTTTCCGGATAATTCATTTTGCAATTTATCTCCTCGTTTCTCTCACGGATAAGACTAGCACCCCAAGACAGAATCTTCTTCATCCCACTGGGTCATCGAATCCCCGCGAAATTTTCAGTCAAACAGCTCACAATCGCTGGGAGCTCTTTTTCTAATCAATGGAGTTATTTAATCTACTGGGTTAACTTCAGTAGTTTCGCGGGTACTTTCTTAAATGAATTTTCCTGCAACTTTTCGTGGGAATTCCTTCCCCCTGTCTCAGTGCAGCTCTTGCTGTTACGTTCGTTTCAATCCGTTTACTGGCTTCAGGGAGCAACAGATTCGTCATTACAGCCTCAAGCTCTATCAGGTCTCCAGGTAACTTGCTTAGTTTCTAATTGGAGGCTCGTAATGCAGGGCTGTAAGGGTATTAAATTCGTTGTTCTTCTGTTTGTAGTGTTGTTACTGATAGCCGTGCGAAGCAAGGGGTTTCTTGTAGAGTTACCGAAACGCAGACTGAACCAGATGGCAATAATGATAAGGTATTCGTAACTTTGCAGCTGAATCCTTTTTACTTGTTTAGTGACATATTTTTCTGTTTGTCATGGTCAGTCTTCTTAAACTACATGTTTATTTGTAACGTAGAAATTATTTCCACAATTGCCGTTGGATACTTGAAGGGAGTGTGTATTTGCAATTGGAAGTAGATGTTATTTGCAATTGGAAGTAGATGTTTTACTTGTCTAGTGAGATTTACCTAATATTTCACTCATTCTTGTAAATGGTTAAACGGGTTAATTAGACTATACCTCAATTTGTAGGAAGAAGATGATTCTGAAGGTCGGGATCAGCCATCTTTCTCCCACTCCTTCGCAGAAGATAAATTTCAGCTTGATCCTCAGGCGGTTGATGTAGTCAATAATGTTGAAAATAAGGACCAAGGTGACATCCAGGTATGGTATTTCTAGCCATTCGCAACTCTTATACATAATGAAACTAGCTTGGAAATCAGTTTCTGGCTAGAAAGTGTTCTCGAGTAGCTACTGCCGACTGAAATAGAGATTTGTGCTTTGCCCGGAAATGAGTTCTAAATGATGCTTTTTTATAGAATATAAGTCAGAGTTTCGTCTTCTTCCAACAGAAGCATGTAAATCTTTATTGCATGGTGCACTTGAGTGTACACGAAGTCCTATACTCGGTATAAATACCGATCCAGCAAGGCTATATAATTCAGTTGTTGTAATTAATAAAACATAGGTGGTCTTATCTTAATCTCACCATCAGAATCCGGCTTATGAGTCACCACTTCATTTTATAAGTCAAATCTTCTTGAAGTGTCAGAGAAGGGGTGATTACAAACTTAGTTTGTGTCCTCAATGTGTTTGAAGTGCTTTTAAACTTTGAAACAGGATATTGATAATGTAGAAGTTGCTAGTGGATCTCCACTTCCAGGACTAAAGGTACTTATAGTTTGTTGCTGTATTTTTCTTGTAACACTCTAAAAGGAAAGTTTTCATGCTCCATACCTCATCTGTTATTCGTTTGATAAAATTGCCAACAGCCACAACAACTGGATGAATCATTCAGAATGCCCCGAGAAACAATTGAAATTCTTAAGAACCAAGTATTTGGATTTGATACTTTCTTTGTGACAAGTCAGGATCCATATGAGGTGAGTCGATTATATATCTATTCTTCTTATTTATGCCTCGTGATTTTCTACTTTTCTTTGAATTTTTATAATTAATATGTAAGTAGGGGTTGGGCTCGAATGGAGCTATATATGTTAGCCACTAACATAATCTAGTACTAGTTTACCTACTCTCTCTCAAATAAGTTTTTTAACACGTGAAAATTCCATACACAAATTTAACTTCTAATAAAACTTGCAACTGATATCGTGTGAATTGTATATAATATGTGAATAAGTAAAAGAAGAGATGTTTGAAAGTACTTAATATAGAGTGGACAAAACGACCTGGATGGCCGAATATGAATATCCTAACCTTTTGCATGTATTTTTTTTTTTTTTTTTTTTGGTATCTTATGCTAGGGTGGAGTCTTGTTTAAAGGAAATTTGCGAGGAGAGGCTGCTAAGAGCTACGAAAAGATAAGGAGGAGAATGGAGGTATCTCTATGTCTGCATTTGTCTTTATGTTACTGATTCTTAAATATCACTAAGTAATTAGTCGCTTACTTAATATTCCGGGAACTGTACAGGATAAATTTGGGGATGTATATAAGCTTTTTCTTTTAGTTAATCCAGAGGATGATAAACCTGTAGCTGTTGTTGTCCCACGAAAGACCCTGCAACCCGAGACAACAGGTGAGCATTGAGTTTGTGATTGATGCTATTTACCCTTGTGGGAGTTGCGAGTTAGAGAGAATATGGACATTCACATTAAAGTTAAAAATTTGCAGCTGTCCCAGAATGGTTTGCTGCTGCCGCTTTTGGACTGGTTACTGTATTTACCCTACTTCTTCGAAATGTGCCTGCATTACAATCCAACTTACTGTATGAAAATGTCCTATAAGCACTTGCACTTTTAGTATTATCTTCTGTTCAATAATTGAATTTTTTAGTTATAAGTTTTCCCCATTTCTTTTTATGTAAATCTACTGCTCCTATTGTACAATGTTTTTTTACGTGTCGTCATTAAGAGAATTTTTATCTACTGGGGAAGGTCTTTGTTGCTGCTTCATGACCTCATTTGAATTTTTAGATGCATTATTTTTGTGGCAGATCGACTTTTGACAACCTTGAGTTGCTTAAAGATGGAATATCTGGTGCTTTTGTAACTGCACTTGTTTTAGGAGTGCATGAACTTGGCCATATATTAGTTGCAAGAGAAGCAGGAATTAAGTTTGGGATTCCATACTTTGTTCCTAGTTGGCAGGTGATATACAGTTTTCCCGCAAGTATTCTTTGATCATAGAACAATTCATCAATATATTCCTAGCGGATTTCAGCTGTTTTTTCTCCGTTCAATGACTGCCAACTTGTGTCGAATGCTGTCCAAATATATTTATGAATCTAGTGAACTGTTTTGGTTGCAGATAGGCGCCTTTGGTGCAATCACAAGGATCCTTAATATTGTACCCAAGCGTGAAGATCTGCTCAAGGTGGCATTAGCAGGACCGTTAGCTGGGTTTTCTGTGGGCTTCCTTCTTTACATTCTAGGTTTCATCTTGCCACCTAGTGATGGCATTGGAGTTGTCGTTGATGCTTCTGTGTTTCATGAGTCATTTCTAGCCGGTGGTCTTGGTACCATAATATGCTTCTGTTTTTTTTTTTGTTCTCTCTGCTCTCTGGTTCGTGTAGCAGACATTTAACATCTATGGTATCCTTTGTGTTTCTCAGCAAAGCTAATTTTGGGCGATGCCCTGAAGGAAGGAACTTCTATATCCGTGAACCCTCTTGTAATATGGGCTTGGGCTGGACTTCTCATAAACGCCATCAACAGCATCCCTGCTGGAGAGCTTGATGGTGGGAGAATTGCCTTCTCCATATGGGGAAGAAAGGTATGGTTAACTCTTCCATCTTGACCACCTGAAATCAACCCTGTTGGCCTCCCTTGAAACTAGTAGTGACGAAGAAGTACATAAAATAAATTCATAGCTGAAAAATTGACTGTTGCTGATCAAGTTATCATTCTAAACAGGCATCTGCTCGAATCACAGGCGTTTCGATTGTTCTTCTAGGACTAGGCTCACTGTTTAGTGATGTAGCATTTTATTGGGTGGCTTTGATATTCTTCTTACAGAGAGGTCCAATCGCTCCACTTTCTGAGGAAATCACCGATCCTGAGTCGAAGTATGTTGGTCTTGGAATTCTAGTTTTGCTTTTAGGTTTGCTGGTCTGCCTACCATACCCCTTCCCCTTTACACAAGAAACCATCTCAAATTTGTAATGCTACAATCCTTTTTTATTTATAGCTTCAGAAAAGAGTCCTCCTATACCCTTTTACCTGACTCTATTCTGATACACCAATTCACTATATTCCTCTTGATTCAGATCAATATTCAAACCCTTTCTTTTTTTTATTTTATTTTATGGGCGTCCGAGCCAGTTTGCATACACTTGACTAATCTCGGGGACAAACAACTTGATTATTTAACATTTGGATGTGTCCGAGTCAGTTTGCACGCACCTTTAACTATCTCTGGGACATCAACTGTGCAAGATTTGGATGCCAAGAAATTAATTTGAAGATGGCTTAACCATTGGTTTGGAACCATTAAGGTTAAAGTAAATGATTAATAAGTTAAGCAGTTTACTAATATAGATTTTTAATTATTAATTATGAATTTTGATTTAAAATTTAACAATGTTAAATGAATGATTCATCTCTAACTTCTATAAATTCCGAATTGTTTTTTTATAGATAAAACCAGAATTATGAAGTTGGAAAGAGCAGATGGATAAGGCCGCTTTTTTTCTAAAGTCGAAGATTCGGATCTGTTCAACTTACAGAAAAAACACATTCTAGATTTTGTTTTTCCATTTTTGGAGAGAGAGAAGAGAGGACACGAATCCTTCGCCCATTGCTGACTTCGCTGAACACGACGATGGCTTTACCCTCCAATTTTATCAACAGCTCACAGTCCGCGCCGCCTGCCGCCGACACCAGTGAGCTCCATGGTCGTACTAGCAATGGGCTTGCAGTGATCGATGGAAATCACTGTTTCTGTCTAAGAATTGGGAGACGACATGGAATGGAGGGGTTGAGTGGAATTTAGAAATGAACCCAAAAAGCTAAGGAGAAAATAATATAAATAGATAAAAAAATCCAAGTGGAAAAATGAAGCCGAACAGTTGATTGCATTAGCATCCACGTCGTATTGGGTAAAGGGACCGTCTTTTACAGAGAAAGTGGTATTTATAATTGGCGAGACGTAACCAAACTTCTCTGTCCACATTTCTTGTAACTTGCGACTACCCACAAGAACATAGGTAAACTTCCCTTCTCATTCTCTTCCCTTTCTTTTCATTTCCCTTTTTTTCTTCGATTTCTTCCTTGTTTCCCACTCGATTCTTCCTCTTCTTCTTTTTGTTGATTCTGATTTCCTGAGCAATTCAATTTCTGATAACCCATTTCCCCTTTTCAATTTTGTATGAGATTTCAAAGCCATGGGGAGGTTGTTCGTGGTGAACCTTGAAGGAAGGATCTATAGCTGCAAGCACTGCCGAACCCATCTTGCTCTTTATGAGGACATCGTTTCCAAGGTTTTGATACACTAACTGTTCATTTCTGATTTCTGATCTGATTTTTTCTTTAGTTTTTCATTTTACTCTTTTCTGATGCGTTGACGATATTGATCGATCCTTTAATATGATAAGAAAACTATAGTGTTTGACTGTTTTAATTGTAAAAGTTGTTATTAGAAGGATCAGCCCCCATCCCCATGCTTCCTCTTGGGGCATTTTCTTAACTTGATGATCCATAAATTTGGTTAAGATTTTGATTGAGTATATATGTTGGCTCTGTTGATGCCCTTTGTTGGGTCTGCCCTTTGAGTATTCATTTTCAGATTAAAAGATACAAGGAATGTCATTGGAGAAAGTGTTCTGACTTATTTTTTCCTGTGTTTCTATTATTCAGTCATTCCAATCCAGACATGGGAAAGCTTACCTCTTCAGTAAAGTGTAAGTTTTCCTGGATGACAATGGTAATTTGGCCAAATGTTTCCATTAAAGATCCCAAATCTTGTCTGTTTCTTCCCGATGACTAACTAAAAGAATGGGGATAGAGATTAAATCCTCACTTGTTCAATCCCCCTTTTATTTTACATCTTTTATGAACTGCTCTTAAGATCTAGTTTTGGGATTCATAACTTTTGTATATGCTGCTGCTCTTCCCTCGCAATTTCAAGTAAATGTGTTGTCATTTTAGTAGTGAAGGTTCATCATCCTCTATATGCATAAGAATTTAAACTAATCTTCACTTTTTTCCCTTTTAACAGAGTGAATGTTTCTATTGGAGTGAAGGAAACGAGAATGATGATGACAGGGATGCATACCGTTGCTGATATCTTCTGTGTTGGGTGTGGATCAATTGTGGGATGGACATATGTAAGATATCAGAAGAACCTAGAAGTCCTATGCTGTTATGTTCTTATTTGTGCTAACTTCTTTTGGTGATCTTTGATCATTCACTTCAGGAAACTGCCTTTGAAAAGAGCCAGAAGTACAAAGAAGGGAAGTCGGTACTCGAGCGGTAAGTAAAAATGTACATGACGAGTAACTTGCTTCGAATCATTACTTTGAGATTTGAAGCTGCTCTGAAATGTACATTCTGGGAAGAACATCTATCTTGATCATGGTTAAGAAAATGATCTTATTTGGTTCATATGGTGTAACCCTTGAAGTATGAAAAATGCTTACATGGTTTTATGAAGTAGTTATGAATGTATGCATTTTTTATTTGATGAACAGGTCCAAGGTTTCAGGGCCTGGAGGAACCAGTTACTGGGTCAGTCATGCTCATGGCCATGAAACAGCTCATGGTGGAGGAAGTGATGCAGATGAAGTTTGATGATGATGAAGAAGATGAAGATGGTGAATCATATTATTCCAACTGTACAGTCCGCACTCCCAATGTTCATATTCTTCAACTCACTGTTCTTCATCTGTCATTCCTCATTTCAGCAGCTAACTTGCTGTTTGTAACAGAACAGGAATCATTTGACTCTGATTCTTCTGTAACTTCATTTTACTGATTATCGTGTTGCAATACCATATGATATGTTCGTCGTCAAATCTGTGGCCTTCTTTTAGTTAAATATAAAAGTTATGTTCGTAGAGAAACATTTAATCAACATTTACCCCAAGTAGTCATAAAAAAAACGTGTTTCACATGAACATGTCGCAAACTCCCTGCTTCACCTCTACCTGTTTTTACAAACAGAACTCTAGAAAAGATTCCTCATTGACTTGGACAAATGGAAAATGAAAATGGAAGACTCAAATGCCTCAGCAGTCTAATGAAAGTTCAAATACAGCTGACAAAGTAAACATATAAACAATGAACAGAGAAAGCTCTCAGACATCTTCAGGAATTGAAATCTGCGGTGTTGCACTGACGGTCACTGGAGTGTATAAACTATCCTTTCCGAGAGCTCTTTACCAACCACTCTTTTGTATCTAACCAACTGATTTTCTACGTAGCTTCTTCTAGAGGGGAAGATGGCTTCTTTTATGTCCTTGTATCTCATACGGGAGTTGCCTATGCCGATTAAGATATTTGTTACATCTCCATCTTCCATTTCAGAGGCCAGGCTACTGCTTTCTGAGGCCAAGTCCTCATCAGATTCGTCCGAGTAATCCTCAGCTATCTCCCCATCCTCGTCCATATTATCATTTTCTGGTTCTTCCAGGTAATCGGTATCGTGTTCAAGTTCCATATCATTCGGTACCTGGTCAAGTGCTGACGATTCCCCATTTTGTTGGAGTGAAAAATCTGATAGGACTACATAAGATTTTTGATCAAGCAATGGCTTCGCAGCATGAAATGGAACCCACCTGAGGAGATACAGAGCTCATGGGTCAAATTTGAAATGATTAATCGGTAGTAATTGTTAGACGAACACGACTCTCCACAATGGTATGATATTGTCCACTTTGAGCATAAGCTCTCATGGCTTTGCTTTGGGCTTTCCCCAAAAGGCCTCATTCCAATAGAGTTAGTATTCCTCACTTATAAACCCATGATCACACCCTAAATTAGTCGATGTGGGACTTCCATCATCCAACAGTAATGAGTTACTTATGACCGAACAAATTTCTAGTTACTCAATGGCTCCTAATTCTAGACCACATTTGTTGACTTAGCTTCTGTTACTCTTGGTGTTTGTCTAATGTCAATAGCCATGGAAATTAAGGAATTACTAACTAAAACCCTCAAACCGACTCAAGCTACCCGGGAAGAACAAGACATTAATTTTATCCTCACCCTTTTACGTAAACAAATCAGCCTCAATAATCCCCCACCTACAGAGAAAAACTTACGTGTAACGAAGTGGACAAAGAAGCTCTGATGGGCAATATGTTGCCTTGTATTTCATCTTTCCACAGTTGTGAATATAATAGCCAAGATAATAATATTGAAGAGAGGCACAGTGTGCTTGATTCTGTTTTACCCACTCTATTTCTTGTAGGGCTGAATACTTCCCCAGAGATAGGAAAGCATAGTCAGGGTCCCAGAATAAATATTTACTCGATAAACACCTTGGAAGGATGTCTACAACACCAACTGCAACTAGCTTCCCATCAATCAAATATTGCTGGTGAAAAGAACCAAAACCGCAGGGAGGAACAGTGCCATCACCAGTTGAGGGAACAAAGTTGAGGGGGGTGTCGACTAGGAAGTTTCGATATGAGGCTTCTGATATACGATCTGGACTATCATTGTGCACAAGAAGCTGATAACTTTTATACAGCGCGTATTCTACTGGATCAAAACTGGACCGTTTCAGGCGTATCTCAAACTTTCGTCTCTTCTGCAAAGAACATTTCGGGTTCTTGTCCCTACTGGAATCTTTACTTCTGGCTTTAGCAGTTTCTTGAGAAATGGTAGCCTTATCGGAACTCTTCGGAAGGAAAGCTTCTCCTTTGTCAGAATAAAAATTGATATGTCCATTGCATGCTTTGATTGAGAAACCGGATAGCTCATTGACCTGGCTCAAATAACTTACCAGCTTTTCAGCAACTATTTTAGGAATGAACCCATTTTCTGCTGTATTACTCTCTGATGAGGATAAGTTACCATCTTTCATCTCACCAACTTGGGCACGCCTTATGCTGGCAGACAATTGGAATGCAACATTGCTGGAGTATACAAGATCCTTTGATCCTTGAACCAGCACTTTCTTCTTTGCATGGGAAACCCTTTTGACAGAAGCTCTTGGAAATTGTATGTTACGGGGAAGATCGCTGCTTTTGGTGTATAAACTTATGGCATCATTGACCTTATCAGACAGATGCAGCATAAAGCGATCTTCCTCCTTTTCGTTATTTTTAATGGACAATGAGTTCTTTTCTACTGAGTGAGATTTGCCATTAAGTGCATGGCTACTGCCCTTGGAAGCACTTGAAACTTCTGTGATCTCCACAGGTTTATCATGCTCCAATTCACCATCTAAAAATCTAAAACAAAAAAACTCATCAGATGCTAAATAGGAACACATCCAACTAGATTTCGAAAACCGACATTGAAAAAGAGCATAAAATGTACCAAGCCAAACTGAGACCATATCTTATAAACTAACTATAAACAGAGAGCAGATCTTATAAACTAATTATAAATCGCTGAAATAAGGTAAAGAAATTGTCTTCCCTCACTAAAGGTCGAATTCAACAAAAAGTATAGAACACGCTTTCATTTCTATAACTACTACTCATTAACTCACCAACCCCACCCCCCACGATCAATTTGCTCAAGTAATCAAATATTTTTAAATGTGAATAATGACAACATCTTCCACCTCAAACATTATGTTGAAAGAGCAGAATTTTTTAGGATCACACCTTTGAAACCGTCTAGAAACTCGTAGTTGATCTTTAGAAGGAACAAAGTTAGATGCCTTCAAACGGATTGTATAAGAAGGGCAACATGTCCTTTCCATCTCAGGTTTGTAGAGATAACAACCAGATCTTCTCCAGCCACGATCAAGGAGATCTGTTGAACAAGTAAAAATATTTTAGTAAACAATAGTTATGAACCTTTAAGTTGAGCATAGGTTAAAGAAAAGTTATAGAGCCTATATTACAATATCACCAGAAACTGATCGAGCATCCATACTAAAATACATTGATAATATGAAAACATGATGGATATTTTGTAGACAAAATCGACAATGCAGCATGAACTGTGATGGCAGAGAGAAAGGAGATCCTAAAAAGACTGAAAGAAAAACCAGTAATACAAACCTTGGTAGTCATCAACAGTAAGATTATCTGGAGCCCATAAACCTGCCATGAAAAAAACGAAATATGATCAAAGGCAACATAAGAGCCAATCAGGAACACTTATGGCCTGCGACAACGACAACAAAATAATGATTTTCAGCTTCTAAATTCCGGAATTGCAGCACAGAAAATTATATACTTAATGCGGATTCCATTCATGCAAAACTACAATTCATGTATCATTCAGAGTAAAGATGCACAAGAAAAAAAAACAAAAATTGTAGAGTAAAGCAACTGTTAGTTCAATTCAGAACTTGTAATTCTATCACAGCCCACAGTACAAAAGAAAAGCAGTAGAAATACGTCAAAACGGAGATCAGAACCAGAAGAAAACAGAAAACAATTTGCAATTTGTACCAAAGAATAACCCAACAAATAATTAAAGCAACTGGCGATGGAATGAAAGTCATTAAAATCAATCGAACCGTGAGTGATGCTCCCATGAGAACCAGATTTGCAGTAACCACACGAGGATTTTCGTCTTCTACAGTCATAAACAACACTTTCCCCTCTCTCCGCGCCACCAAAATTGCTACTGCTCGCATCGCTCATCGTCTTTCCGGCCATTTCCGATATCCGTCGCAACGCCAATATTACCTATCGTCTCTAGACGCTTTCTGCATCAATCTAAGGTCTGAAATGGTAGAGTCCCATATATTCAAACTCCGAATTCGTACAAGAATTGTCTTAAACTATTGAAAATAGAATTTGAAAACTAACATCGTGACGGCTACAGCTCAATTGGTAAAAAAAAAAAAACACAATAAAGGGTTTGTTTTATTCGAAGTTATTTAATTGATCCATGTTTATGGCGAGGGGTCGGGTTGATTCATATTCCTTGGAATGATCCTGAAAGCGGAATTTCCTAGGTAATTGCTTTAAGGAAGACAATCATCGTCTTCTTTGCTACTTAATTTGCAGTCCCAAAACTCCGTCGAAAAAGAAAAATGGTTACCTCGAAGTAAGCGGGCGATCAAACCTCAAGTTCTTCACAAAAAAACCACACTTTTTTACTGCAAACCCTACAATGGCGATCGTCCAGATTTCATCCATTTTCCCTGCACAACTAAAACCTTTCAATTTCGAGAATTTGCGGGGAAAATTTTCTTTTATTTCTCATTTTATTTTCAACTATAATAACTATTAATTTTAAAAACTATTTTCTTCCAAAGAATATTAAGATATCCTAATAAAATTAACCTTATTTTAAAAAAATTAAAATTTAATATTACAACATAATTTCAACCGAACCATATATATATATATATTTTTTATTTTTGTATTTAAAAAGTCCAAAATATATATTTTATTTTTTTAATTATATATATTTTAGGTTTGATTTAAAATCCGCCAAAGGAATGATTGGTGCACGACACCAGACCCCAAACAATACCCTATTCAGAATCTTTGTTTTCGGTTTCAATTTTAAATACGAAAAGAAAAGGGGAAAAAAGAGAAAAATGCCGAAATGCAGGGGTATATCTGCAAGAAAAAGGAAGGGTAAAATCGTGATTATCCAGTATAATATTGACCCACCTAAAAGAAGGCCCAACACGAAAACGTAGACTTGAAGTGAGAGGAATCACAGCAGCGCGAGAGAAAAGAAAGCATGGTTCATAAGCTCACTCGTGTTTTCCCCGTTTCGCATTCCATACGGCATCGTTCCACCTCTGAATTTCACCTCTTTCGATTTTCTCAGCTTGATCCACGACCGACAATGGCGGATTTCGCAAGCACTTCCTCTTGATTCTTGCTTCTCTGAGTTCGACGCCTCTTTGTTTCTCTTTCTTTCTACAGCTACTTTTTTTTTTTTTGGGAGTTTTGGAGTTAATAGAGGCTTCCGGTGGGAGAAGAGCATTTAGATGCGGAATACTCTCCTACTAGGTTGTGCTTTCAAGAGTTGTGGTCGGGGAGCTTTGTTGCAGATCTAATTGGTTTTGCATTTTGGTGTTGTACTGTCGACGCGATGCTTTGGTATGGGTGTTATTCTGGGAGATGAAAACGTGAACGAACTGCGTGGTTTATTTGTTTTTGGCTTTGAAGTACTCTCGGTGTTGCAGCTTGTGATTTTTGAAATTTTTGGACAACGAAGCTTGGGGGATTTTAAAATGAATCGTAGTTTTAGGGCTTTGGAATCACAAATGCAAGCGCCGGTGAAGCAGCGGCAGCAGCAAGTTGGAGGACTAAGGGCGTCGGTGAGGAAAGATAAGGAGGAGGAGCTTGCGTTGTTCTTAGAAATGAGAAAGCGTGAGAAGGAGAGGAATGATCTTTTATCGAACCACGCGGAAGAGTTTGATGCGCCTTTAGGTATAGCCACTGTGACGTATGCTTCTGCTAATTCTACTGAAATTACGTTTTATCGCATTTAATTTTCTGTTTTGTGCAGGAACAAAACCAGGAACGTCTCCAATTTTTAATATCGCATCAGCGACCCCTGCCCCTACTCGCAAGACTGGTGCTGATGATTTTCTTAATTCTGACAATGATAAAAATGATTATGATTGGTAAAGCTATCACCTTTCACTTCTCATTTTAGTTTATTGAATAAATTTCTGTATAGAAGATTGCTGTTTTTATCCTTGATTAACTGATCGTTGGTAGTTTTGAGAAAAACTCAATATCTCAGTATCAGTAATTGACTTGAGAGTGTTCCCAAATGGAACCATGGTGAAAAAGAGTGTGGCCCTGACGAGTTATTTTTATAATCTGAGAGAGATATGAATGGACCAATCTGTTGAGGATCTCCAATTTGTTAATTTTTCTGCAATGGCAATTTTGTTAGGTCTCTTTACTTCTACTTGATCATTACTGATTTACACCCTTGTTAATAAAGGAGTTTCTTTTACGTTGTGCGATGAAATAGGCATTTAGAAGTTTCTGAAGACGTGGGTAGACAAATTTCAAGAAACCCTCTTGCTAACAGACAATATCTGCCCTAGTTTAGCTATCATTTAGTTGATACAACACAGGCCTATCTAAGTCTTCTGGTCTATTGACTGTGCATCACGTGCTTTGTGATATGAATGACAATACGCTGCATGGATGAGGTCCATTCCTTTGGCTCTAGCTTATTGATGAGGATGACAATGGCATGTCTAGAATAGGTGGGGATGGAAAGAAAAGGAGGCTCTTCCATCTCAAGTTGTGATGTTAACTTAGGTTTCAATTTCATACTGCATGACCTTAACCCTTGATTCAGAATTAGAATTCCTAAAATTTATGATCAGTTTCATTTCTGGAACAAGCCACTTTGATTGGTGGTGGACGTCTCAATCTATGGATTTGATTGTTTTTGAGGTCACAGGTTCAAATGTATGGTTACCATTTATCTAGCAAATTAAATAGTATTTGATTCATAAAATCAAATATGTAAGATTAGACAGTTCCCAAGTTGGATTAGTCCAGGAGTGTGAGTTAATCTATTCAACCACTGATTAACCACAACTATATATATATAAAAAAAAAAAAAAAAAAAATCTTCTTAAACAACGAATATTTTGCTTAACTGTTGATTTCATTGTCAAAATATTGGACACGAGAGAATAACATTTATGTTGATTACCACTTGCCACAGACTATAAGGTTTTGGGTCATTGAAACTTTATAATCATAGGGATCCCCGAAGAAACTCTCCCTGTCGGCTAGATTTATTATTGTTTGAAACTTTATGTTCATATGTGGGGAAAGGAATGGGGTTGGTAGTTGCAGCGAGGTTATCAAGAAAGTACCTTTTGCTTCTGTCTGGACATGGCTGTTTTCATTTACATGTCGATAGTGAAAAGTATATTTTCCAGGAATGGAATGCCTACTGCAAATATTCTTGTGGGTTCAGAAACGGTTCATGCCTATTTCCTAGTAGTCTTATGATTGGTTATGACTTTTACTTTGTGCAAATTGAACCAGTTAAATTAACCAGAGCTTGATCTGTTTTCAGGCTTATAACTCCTCCTGGAACTCCTCTTTTTCCATCTTTGGAAACGGAGTCAGAAAGGGTCTTAATGAGCCATGCTACTCCAATGGGTCGTCCCAATGTGCTGAAATCTAGAGTAAGTTCTTTCCCAAGTGTCAAGCTCAATAAGTTGAATATATTGAGATTTGACATCTTTGATTCTTAAAACCATAGATGTTGTGGTACATGATAAATAGTTATTTCAGCCTTCCAAGCTGCTTTCATTCTGGAAAGTCTGGTTCTTGGGAAGTCCAGTGAGGACAAAGCTGGAATCCGGAACTTTCGCTCATTAGGAAATTAAATGACTCAAGATAGGCAACGGGGTATTTATTTTTTCTTCCATTGGAGATGATAATGGGAAGATTTGATGTTTTTGTTCCCAAGATGTCTATGTCAATGTCATAGTTTGTTCACAATCGGAGCAAGTCATCTAGATTCTTCGTTTATAGGCCAAGGAAAAATTTACTGACCTAAATTCTTTAATTGCTTGGCATATGACACATAGAATGGCACCTAGTGAATTTTCAATCTTATGCTCGTAACTGATATTCTTTTTAACATTCCTCACGCATTTCAGTAACAGTTATTAATGTTGTGTTGTTATTTTTTCTGTTTTTGAACAAGTTGTTAAGTTATTTTCCTTTTCTGGGTTCAGCTCGCAAATCTCCAACAAGAACCTGCTACGAGGAGCAACTTGGTCTCAAAACAACCAGCTTCTTCTCCAGGATTGAATTCTTCAAGTGTAGGGATACGTCGGCCTTCATCATCTGGAGGCCCTGGATCGAGACCTGCTACCCCAACTGGACGTCCTACATTAACCACAACAGCTAGAACTTCCAGATCCTCAACACCTACTTCCCGTGCGATTTTGCCTTCCAATAAACCAGTAGTTTCCTCGACTAAGATTGCAGCAGCTTCAAATAAGCTGCCAGCTGCGTCAGCCAAGCCAGTTACTAAGACTAAGCCCACTGTTTCCTCTGCTAAGTCAGTTCCCGCAAGATCTTCCACTCCAACAAGAACAACAGCAAGATCATCAACGCCGACGCCGTCTTCCAGAGCTACTATACCTCCACCTAAGCCCACATCAAGGGCCTCAACTCCTACTCGTCGACCTTCCACACCATCTAGTGCATCAAGTGCACCTGTTTCCTTAGTCAGGTCTTCATCATCAATTTCAAAGCCATCTCCAACTCCGTCAAGGAATCAAGTACCATCAAGAGGAACTTCCCCAACAGTAAAATCCAGACCATGGAATCCTTCAGAGATGCCAGGTTTCTCTCTCGATGCTCCACCAAATTTAAGGACATCACTTCCTGAAAGACCACTTTCTGCCACAAGGGGTCGGCCTGGAGCACCTAGTGCACGATCTTCCTCTGTTGAACCTCTTCCAAATAGTAGGCCAAGACGACAATCATGCTCTCCGTCACGAGGACGTGCACCTAATGGAAATATTCATTTTAGTGGGGGCTCTGTCCCTGCAATTAACCGAATGCATGCTAAAGCTAATGACAACATAAGTCCTGTATTAGTAGGGACAAAAATGGTTGAAAGGGTAATAAGCATGCGCAAATTGGCGCCTCCCAAGCAAGATGACAGGCATTCACCTCGTGGGAATCTGTCTGGGAAGTCCTCGTCGCCAGATAGCTTGGGTTTTGGGAGAACACTATCTAAGAAGTCTCTGGATATGGCCATAAGACACATGGTATGCTATCTATTTTCAAGGGATTTTTGTTGTGGAATTAAATTTTTATCTTCCCTTTCTAACAACGCCATTCTGGTATAAACTTCACAAGCGCAAAGCAGTGTCACACGTCTGCACGAACTGATTTTCAATGCATATTCTTGTTTAACATTGCACATTTTACTTGAGCAGGATATAAGGCGGAGCATTCCAGGTAACTTACGCCCCTTGATGACAAATATTCCAGCTTCTTCAATGTATAGTGTACGATCTGGGCCATCTCGAAGCCGAACTGTCAGTGTTTCAGACTCCCCTCTTGCAACGAGCAGCAATGCCAGTTCTGAAAGGAGTGTCAACAATAATGGTCTCTGTTTAGATGCACATGAAATTGACGACGAAATTGGCAGCGAAAGAGGAGGTCGCTCACCCCGCACCATGTACCCTAGGTGAATCTGATGGCTCATTTGAATTCTGATCAATCATATG